AAAATAATCATGTATAACATGATTAAATATTTTAAAACATTGAAAATCAAAATTAAATCAGTCTAGGAAAATGTAGAGCTTGACACAATGAAATATCAAAAGTTGCTTCAGATGCAGTTTCTTGGGAAGGGGTCAGTTTGTTCAAAAACGTTTGTTATATTATGTCAAGAAGAAGCTATATTAAACCTCTGACCTCTGACACATGCTTTTGACATGAAAAAATCTCTCCAAGCGCTCAGGGAAGCAGATGACTCTATTTTCATAAACACAAGAATTAGACCCTTTTAGAACACTCAATGACTACATACCCCATGCTGAAGTCTTATGCTAACTGAATCCAACATTGTATCATGACAACATGCTGCTATGCCAAGCAATAGCTGCACAAAAGAATACTGAATTGTTCCAATGCATTTGGAATAAAAAGCACATCACTATTGTAAATAAGTAATCTGTTCACCTACAGATACATCTGACATGTTCACACCATTAAAACTGCAGCCAAGACAGGGAGCTTTTAGAGGAATAAATCCTGCTTTTTGCCTGTTTCTCACAGGGTCACACCCTAGCTGTAACACAATGGTGGCAGACACCTCTATCCTGCTGCTGATGAGACTTTGTGCTTTGATACCACCCATGGTTCAGCCCTGCAGGTCATTGTCCAAAGGGCTCTAATGAATTAGCCCACCATATTTTCAAATGAGGGAAGCAGATACTGTCTACTGCAGGCTTAGCCATGCTCCCACAACACCTTGCACTTGAATGTGTTGAAGGTAATCAATATAGCAAACGTACAACATCGGAAGAGTTAACTGCTACACCAGAAAGTATAACCCAAATGTCAAACTTCAAAAATCTCAATTCTGTTCATCATGTGTTCCATTATCGTTTAGCTTAGCCAAAGCAAAGAGGGTTGAATCTGGTCAAGTTCCTGCCTAGAGGTTATGACATGGATCAGGGTAGGAGATTTCTTTTGAGAAATGTGACTCTCCTTTTTCAGTGAACAAATTCCCCGTCTCCCATTATCATAAGCTGGCAAACTAAGGCACCTCAGGCACCACAGACACTCAGACTTGGCTTTTCTGGAGGGCTGTAGACTCTAAATCGGAAAGCTGACACCGGTGCTGCAAGACGTGAGGGACCATGGGTGCAGGCCGTCTAGGAAACCTGCTGAATTGCGCTGCAGCATGTCGAGAGGCTCATTAATGTGTGTGCCTCTCCCCAGCACGCAGAGAGCTGGTCGGCACTCCGGCGCGCCACCCTGTTAATCCATCTCGGAAAACAGCCTTCCATTTTACAAAACCCTTCTTAAAGCTGCTGTTCTACCTCTGAGGCAAGTTTTCCCTTTCAGAAAATGAAGAGAAATCCAATAACCAAAGCCTAAAGCAGTAATCTAATTTTCTGCAGATCTTTTCTGCTCACCCTCCCTTTCTCTCC